AACCCCAACCACATGATATTATATCCTTTCAAGCCTTCTTAAGTACACATTTGGGACAGCAGACTTTCCCATATGTAGCTCGCAATGTCAACAATTGCACCATCTTGCAACAACTCCAGGGTTCGTCCTTAATTGGTGAATGTCTATGAACTGAAGTTGTACACTTGGGGCTACAGAAATTCAACTTGGATTCAGCCTTAATTCCTTACATCTCTAAGTTTGGGCTAAGTTTTCTACTTAGTTTCTAATACACACTCTGCACTCTGAGCTAGAAAGCCAGACAGTCTGGCTGCTATTCAATAAGGAAATCAAAAGGTGGTGTCTACTTACTGTAATGTGATTTGTAAAGGCAGGTCAGTAATAACCTGAACCTTGTTCACACGTCAAAGGATGTTCAGGGCTGCTCAAGGAATAAATATTTGATGCACAGAAAATAGTTTGTGGGAACTGCATTCTTTTCAGCCAACATAATGATAACATCCTTTCGAAAGTTTCTAAACACGGACTATGAGACCCCCCAAAAATACCGTTTATCTATCAATTGGTTTGGATGTTCAAATACTGTATAGGCAAAACACATACACTGTGCTACGGGATTGTACAAAAATTTAGTAATGTAAATATTACACAATCATTCTACTTTTGCTGGAAAATTGGAAACAATTGGCCCTGCATTTGATTCTATGCAGTTTAGTTTAGACATACATGTACTAGTAATACAAAGGCATAAGACTTTAAGTTTAACTTAGTTCCGAACTTCAAGACGATTTTAACCCCATTTGAAACAGTTGCCTTTTCTTCTACTCTTTACCTGTTGTTGGTCACCAGTGTACTTCTCCCAAGAGCTTTAAATTCCACATTATTTTATGCTTTTTATATGGTACAGCTTGGCCTTCTCATATAAGTCCAAACCTGTGTGTTGAAGATAACCTGGTCCAAAACAAAAGTTATTGGTCCATGGCAGAAAATCCCTATACATGCACTGTGTGCTGACCCACATACAACTACTAGTATTTACCCCAAGATTAACAAATGCTTTGGATAGCCTCGTATTCATAAACACTGTGAAAAATTGTCATAAATGCAAAGGTCAGACTGTAGGCATGCATGTGCTATATATTCAAATATTGTTTTTAAAAAATTACATACATGTATGTTAATGCACATTACTTGTCTATATTTCAGACATTCAAATAAAAAATTAAAGGCAAATACAATCATGCTACAGCAGCTACACCAAAGTGAATGTAACATAGTACTGCTCACAACATTTGGAAAAAAAATCATCTAATTGTCTGCATATACAGTAACTGAATTTGATCATGTACAAGACAGCAATTTGCTTTAATGATATTACATTGTACGTGATGGCAATATGAACAAAAATAGGTTATACCTTCTATTGTAATGTTATTATCAGTATCAAGTATGACAAATAATGATAAGATATAATTCTTCTTCGTCAGAAGCATTTCCCAAGCTATGCACTATGTCATCTAGAAATAGACCTTGACACATCTCTCTGTAATAGATACACTTGGGAAAGCACTTGAAACAAGTGACTCTACTTTACTGCACATAGATAGGTAATAATTATCCCTATGTTTGTGCTAGGGCACTGCTAAACAAACCAGGATGTCACGTACATCATATCTAGTTTTCGACAGGGACAGTACTTGATGAATCTTCTTGATAATGATTTAGTAAGTGACCCGATTCATTCTTCTGAATTTCGCTGATGTATACCTGTAATATCCATAAATAGTTGACGATTTTCTCTATAAATTTTAACTGAAACATCTGCAAAAGCATACACTTTTTCAGCCATACAAGACCAGCAAAGAA